GGAATTTTATGGAACACCAAATGTACATTTGATTCAATAATTCATTTGATGTTTATATGGACTATGTAAATAGTCTCATCATCATTTTTAGGTTTTTGATTCCTCTCTAGTTACATTAAAATATATAAAATATTTAAACAAACTCACCATATTAGATTTATATCTATTCATATCAGTCAGATCATCTTTATTTCTAGGGCATGTATAGTCTTACACAAGCAGAAATAGGTATCATTGTTTAGGGGTTTATCTATTTTAACTATAAAAAATTCAGGTATGAATTTCAAAGTTGAAAATCACAATTAATACACAAGCAATGATGCTTGTTACTTTATCTCCTATACGACTGTTTGTGGGAGACTACAGTATTGACTATGCCCCAATCAAGGCTGGAGTTAGCCCCACAATTGGCTTGTTTATAAAAATGAGTCCAGTTTAAGTGTATGTGCCAAGGCCAGAGTAACTCAAACCCAAATTCTGTTCTCATAACTAAAACCTAATTAAAAGGGAAATGTTCTAATTACAACTCTATATTTTGTCTATTCTGTTCCTAATTTGAGAATGCTTGTCTTGTATAGCCTGACTTACCTTAATTTCCATAGAAACTGCATCACTGCCATCACATAGTTCTGCCTTTGCGTGTAGCCCATCTTTATCCCAATTGACTACTAATAAAAATCGGTGGCTTGGACTGGGCCAGCACCTTTGTCAGTTGCACTGGCTCTGGTCATCCTGGCACCCTGCTTTCTGTCTCTCTTAGTTCTTTTAGTTTTTTTTTTTTTTAAATCAGTCTTGCATCATAAAATGTGCCTGAGACTGAAATCTACTGTAGAGATTTCCAGTAACATTTCAGGGGTCCACAGTAACTGTTGAATTTTCAATTATGTTATCATTTGTAAAATGAAGTCACTGAAATGATTCCTGGATTTTGACGCAGTAGTTGTAAAATTAAAATTCTATGCTAAGAATGAAAATGTTTTCAAGTTAAACATGTATTAAAATAATGATTATATTAATAAATTACATTACCTCATTCTGGACTATTTTATAAATGATATTTAATTCATAGTTATCACAATGACCTAATTATATATATAAATTATATATATATGTATGTATGTATGATACATATGGTATATGATATATATGATATATTATACATATATATATGTATATATATGATAACATGTTTGCCTTCTGAATGATAAGGTTATTTAGGCCATTGTCTTATAAAAAAAACTGTAATTTCCAAATCCAAAAATTTAAATGCATTGTTTCAGTTGTGAAATGAACTATTAATCTTTTAAAGGATGAAAAGATAATAAATACAAAGATTTATTGAACTTCCATATGTTCTAGTACCCAAGAGTTTGAATTTTTTCTTCAAATATTTATTTCTTCATCTACTTATTTAAAAGCCTGAAATTAAAAATAGTTTGAACAATAATACTAAAGAATTCTCTGAGATTTAGAAAAAAATCTACCATTTCAAATATTGTATGATGGAATTACAAGTAAGCATGCTTGTCTCATTAAAATTAATTTAGCAGTTATCCTATAATGTATTTAATACTGATTATATTTTTAAAACTCTTCCTATTACCTGTTAAAAAGGTAAGTTTAACCTAAGTTTCTTTCTCTTTTTGGATGGTCAGACTTTGTTCAGCATCACCTTCAGTCTTAGGCTGTGAACTATATCCTAACCTAGTATATCAACAAGCTGATAACAAGTTTGAAAATATCTTTTGATAATAGATATTTGCACATTAGCCACATACAGGACCCAAGCTTCAGCCAGTTGCAGGCTGCCAATTAATCAGACCATATTCTTCTTCTTTTTTTAAATCAGACCATATTCTCGCATGCTTCCTCAAACAGTGCCCATGTAAGTTAAAGCGTCATTATACCATATCTACATAAGGTAAATGCTGACTGTGGCCAATCAGGTCAACTCTGTGTGAGACGTGTGTGTGTGTGTGTGTGTGTGTGTGTTTCCTGCGGTTATAATGGGGTAGGACCTTTGGAAATGCCCTCATCTGCACCAGGATACTACAAATTGCTTAGGCTTTACTTATCTTTGAAACTACTCTCCCTCCAAATGGGGTTTCATTTTAAACACAAACAGAAGAGCTATGCAGTCTCAAGGTCATGATTTTGATGATGTGAATACATTTTTTCCACTCTGTTTCATTTTAATTTCTAATATAGTCACAGATACAGCTCTTTAAATTTATTTTAAATTCAATCTTTATCACATCAATGATGGAAAACTGAGTTAATAGGAGTTGTGAAAATGTAAATGGAGATATTAACAGTTATTTATTTGCAATCATTTATTAAGCATACAAAGACAAATGTTATAGCTTATGAAATCTGAAGATATAGCATTATATTTAATGAAACACAATACATTTAGTGTATTTCAAATTACTGAATGAGAGAAGGGATGAAATATGTAAGCTAGAAAAATTTTTTTCCAGCTCAAAATACTTCTCATTTTTAGTTCTCAGATTTTCTTAGGTAACATTTTATTACTATTTCATGTAATATAAACTTTTGTAAATTTCACAATTCTGTCCAAATATAATTGCATTTGAAAACTCAAATAGGTTATAACTTAGGAAATTGTATATAAAAAGAATATCATATAACAAGCATAGATTAGAAAACTCATAATGTTTATGTACTGAGTTCACTACCCCCTCAAATATGAACTACAATATTGACAATATAGTTCAGCTTAATAACCCCTCTTATATCCAAGTATTCACTAAAGATAGAAGGAAACTGGAGATTGAGCTAACATTCAATGTCACTGCCACTATTTTTTCTTATAAAAAGGTAATATGAATTATTCAGCTTATAAAATACCTTAACGTTATTTTAAATAATGTTATCTTTTGATCCTTAAGTTAAAATAGGAGTAGTTTATGTGTGTGTGAATGTAAATTAATATGTACACATGCGTCTGGAGGATATAGATAGACAGAGGATAGATAGATATTTCACAGATTCCCACTCTTATACACTATTATGAGCGTATTTGAAGCTTATTTGTTTGCTTGTTGGAGTACAAGGCTATTTTTTTTTTAACATGTTTGGTGCCATAGTATAAAGTTCACACAACCACACTAGGAAATCTGAAAAACAAAAATAAATTTAGCAAAAAATTTAAGCAATCAACCACATTTTAATAGACTATTTAAAATGCAATAATTCAATTTCAAATTATAGTCATGTGAACTAATATAATATTTTAACATTTATTCTGTTAATAAATTGTTTTTCATTTGAGCTTATAATTTTTAATAAAGTAAATATTCTTCAAAATTTTTGACCTTGACATAGTGACATGCAAATAGCCAGTACTCAATAAATATTTTTTTAAGAAGTAAGGCACAACTGATTATTAGGCTTTTGTGTATAAATAGGTCTTCTTTGAAAGAAATTCAAATAAATTTAACTATTCCCTTATCTATCAATGTGTTTTATTTACATTTAGGACTTATTATCATATTGTTAATATGGAATAATTACATTTTATTTAAATTATTGTTTGTAAAATTTTCTGGAATCCAATAAATCAAACAAAGAACTTCAGATATCTTTCATTTTATACTTTTTACATTTTTCTTCATTTTTACTTTCTTCTCATTTTTGTCAATGCCTATGAATTAAATCTTTAAACTAGTCTCCCCTGTAGATATAACGCAAAGGATATTCAGTCTACAAAAATAAACCACAGTATTTGTAAGAAATTTGTATTGCTACTGCCATCAAAATTATGTTGTTGTAAATCTGCTATATTGTATAATATAATTCATATAATTATTCTAAATCAACAACTATCACACATTAGAATATGTTTTTCTGGCACGAGAATGATAGTCTATCAAAAGTAACATCAAGGATAGCAATATAGTTTAAAGTAAAAGTTCATAAAAATCCCAAGAATAATAGATAGTCTAAGCGAACAACTTCTATAACTGAGGAAAACCAATAAGTAAACACATACTTGTAGAATTTAATTATGTATAATAATGCAAATTGTCTCCATGACTTTCAAGTTAATTTGTTAAAGTAAGCACATATTAGTATAGCCAACATCACAGAAAAAAATATAAGAAAGAAAAAGACAAAATTATGTAAACATTCTCTCTAAACATTGCTTATGCACGTTATATTTAAAGCATTTTTGATATAATCTCCTCATTTTTATATCATTTTTTATATAATCTTCTTCCGGACTTACTAACTGCTTAATGACTGCTTGGGAATTTTTATTATATTTCTTAACCATGATGTAGTTATTTAATTTTCTCTTAAGAATACTTCAACTTCTTCAATATTGTTTTTTTCATTTTTGAAACAACAATGGTTAGTGAATAATAAATCCAGGAATTATTCATGGAATCAAATAGCAATTCCTATTGCTCTGGAAAATTCTAGAATATTCATTTTAGAATGTTCTATTGATGGATTAAGAAGAGTCACTCAGCAAATAATTTAGATGGCATTTAATAGTAATATTTAATCAAGAATTCTATGTAGTGACAATGACTCCATGAACTGTATCCATTTTAGAACAGAATGAAAACTGTAGGCATATTAATCTATTTTCAGAGGATTATCAAGTCAATAATATTGCCCTAGGATCTTGAAAAGCAAAAGCTACCTCTGCATTTTTTAACATCTTGTTTAAGTTTTAAGGGATGGTAAAACTGACCCATATTCACATTTTTAATTTGATAAGCATTATAGAGCCCCATATATTTTAATCTGCTATGCAGTATGTTCATAAAAATCCTTAAGTGACCCTAGAAAGTAAATATATCATGTTGTCTCATATTTCAATAATCCTAATTGATAGCAATTTAGGTGAGTTAATTACTTTTAATCATTAAGAAATATTTTTTCTCATTTATTCTACTCTTATTAAATACCTCCATACCTCCAGTTGTTTTGGTTTTTAGGCTATTATGCAGAGAAGGATACTGTACCTCTTATGCGGCTGGTGGTTGCCCATGTGGTTGTGCTGGTTGCTATGGCTACAGTGGTTGTGACTGTTGCAGTGGTAAGGGAGGGGATGATAGTAGAGGGAGGCAAAGTGTTGGGAACATCTGGTGAGTGGAAAAAAACAAAATATAAAACAAAATCATATCATGCAAACAAAAGAAAATACAAATGCTTCAAACAATAAACACATGTATCTTACTTACATTTAGCATTTACAAGCTTGAACAGAATATAGGGTACAAAACTGTACCACACAGGTTCTGTCATTTTTTTTTCACTTTTTCTTGCTCCTTCAAAAGCACAACCTTGGAGCTATGTTTGAGAATAAGCAGATTTTTTGCAATATTTAAAGTGAAATTAAAATGACAAGAATTGATTTATTCACTGAGTCATTTGACAAGTTTGACATGCAGTAGCAAAATATATATAATTAAAATAAAAAAGACATGCTTTGTCAAAGAAATAAAGAAACAACACATACAGAAATAAACACAAATACCACCATATAGGATTAAAGAAATGTTAAGGATAGATGTGTATAAGCTAGTTAAATGCTTTTGGACTTTTTTCTTTTAGGGAAATAATGAGAGGTAATAGGAAAAAAGCAATCTTTAGAAACAAACAAACAAACAAACAAAAGAAGCCAATTGTTATTATTGTTGTTATTTTGCTTCTTCTGTTCTCACAAATAATGTTAATGTATATTTCAGAGGTTTGCAATTCTTACCCTGAAAAGCTGGTAACGCCTTCTAATAATTTTGCAGTACCTGGGAGTCTTTAACGAGTATTGAGTCAAGTAGCATGGAACCCAATATTCTGAAAGTTCTAGGACTTATTTTAATATTGCATACCTAGGGGAAGTTACGGAATATAGACTCGAGCTATAATTTCCAATCCACAATCCTTAATTAGTCCAGTTGCCAAAAATTAATATACAGATTTAAATACAAAGAAAATACAGAAAAAAGAATATCTTAGCTCTTAATGCTCAAATATTCCTTCCTTTTAGTAAAACCAGTGGAAAAATGTGAATTCTAGCAAAGAGAATGTTGAAAGAGTAGAGACACAGTCAAGCTGTGAGAACCTGAGGAAGATCCCCAGAGAGTCAAATCTTGTCTTGAGTGGTAAGGCATATCATTTACACAGTGAGAAATTAGAAACAGTTCCTAAATTACCTGTAATTATTGTGCTAGGGTTTGATTTCACATGTTTGTCACACAGCCTTTATATGTACAGAGTGCTTGACAGATTATTTTGCTATTAAAAGGTTCCCTGTCAGTTTCTCAGTAAAAGCCTTTGGGTCACACCAAACATTTTCCAGTTCTTTACCTCTGATAAATGGCCCTACTCAAGCTGCAGACTCTACCTGCTGAATCCCCTACATTGGAGATGCCAGCAAACAGCATGAGATCACTCTCTTATCTTGAGTATTGATGTTTACACCTGTTTTTCAACAGGGAAAATGATTCCTGGCCAGTCAAATTAAGTAAACAACTTCTGAAAACGTAATGGTGCTACATTAATCATTAGAGAAAATGGGTATTGCCTGGAGTGCAATTTACCATATCATAAACTAAAAGTGACTCAGCAGTAATATAAATGAATTAATATTATGTATGTTTGCACATATACACCTCAATTACTAATTTTTATAATATATTATTTCCTAGCTTTCTTTAATAGTTTTGACAAACTATAGGTAATGAATAGCTTCTAAATTTAAGAATAAAGGTATAATTTTAACTTCTGGTTATCTAAAATAGAAAAAAATATAATCTTTGTTAGCAAAATCATTTGTTCATTAGAATCTCAAAATACACACATTTAATAAATGGTAAGGCCTGTAACTTCCAGAGATGTCAAATATAAGATTAAGCTATAATATTAGTTTACCCCATGTAAAGTCCCTGCTATCACAAAATTATCACAGATTGTAAAATATCAGACAGTGGGCTAAGATAGTGTACTTTAAATTTTATCCTCGTAAGAAAATAACTTTTCTGAATCTACTCTATCACCTTATTGTTAAAAACTGAAATACAAGTAGCAAGGTTTTTTGCTATTCTTTATTTCTTTATTTTAGTTTATGTTAAAGAAAATATTATTTTGATTTTTTTATTCCATAACAATAAGAATGGAAATTCTGAGTTGTTTGGGGTCTATATATTTTCAAGTCTTGTTGGGTGTGCATTCTTTTGTAAATCAGAACGTCCCCTGATTTCCTACAAGTGACAATATGAGTTATACATGTGTTTTTTCCTCTGGGGTACTATTGAAAGAATTAAAAAATGTAGTAGTTGTAATAATTGAACTTCCCAGAATATTTAAAAGTGTTCAGACATATAATCTTTACAAATCATTGTTGGCAGACAGTATAGCTGCTGAATCTCTCCTTATAATCTTCTTCCTCTCTGCCTTCTTAAATTCATGATGCTAAAAGCAAATGGACTGTTAGCAATTTGGTAAAAATGCTTTGGCCAATAGAAAAAACAAAACTAGAAAGTGACTTCTCAAAAGGAAATCTCTCCCTGTCACTGTTATATATTTTAAACTACAGCCATCTCATTGTTTCCTGTGTTTTGAAACATTTTTTACATTTCCTTTAATCATAAGGTTTCTTCATCCTATTCCTTCGTTTCATCATTTATTCATGTTCATTCAATTATTTCAATTTCATTGTGAGAGAATAAAAGCTGAAATAACCTTCATATTCAGTTCTACAAGATTGAATCAGCAATAGTTAAATAACCTATATCTAGTTGGAATTGGTTGAAATTATCAGAAAGACTAAGAAAATTATACACATTTCTACCTTCTAAATAAACTTTGTTTGTTCTTTTAGTCTCCTAAACAACTAGCTCTTGAAGAAAAAAAAAAACTGTCCAGTTTATGTTTCAAACCCAGCACAATTTGAAAGATAAATAAAAATTACCAAATAAATCTGTTACAGCATTATTAATATATAGCTATTATAGGGGATCTAGAAAACAGAACTTATTTCAAAGGATTAACTACTGCAGAAATAAAGAGTGGTGGTATATTTTCATGAAGAAATATAGAGGGAGAAATACTACTAATAATGATTTGCCTCATTTTTAAGCTATCAAGAATCACACATATTTTTAAAATCATTATGCTAGTATTACAATGTTCTAACATAGGATCAGAAAATATGCAGACCATTTTTGTCTCTTTTAAGAAAGCATCTTTTGCCATTTTATTTATGGAACATAAATATGATAATTCATATGCAAGGTAATTATGCAAATTAAAATGCAATTAAGGGAAACTAATTCAATAATAATTATTTATGAAGAAAATAAGAAAAATAATGTATTTTATAGTCATAGTATAAGTAATATAATTATTTATTGGATAAAAATTATTTGAAAACTGGAAATAAAAAATATCTGGTTATGAACAGATTATTTTATATCAATTATATAGATACAATATAATTCCAGAAAAAAGACATTTCAAGGGAGTTCTTCATTACTAGACTAAAGCTCAGTATATATTAATACTATATATACACACACATATATACATATATATCACTATTTACTAAAATAGCAAAACTCAAAATATTTGAATATTTTGGATGAGATATTAAATGATTTCATAGAATTCAATTATTCATTTGCTGAATTTATTTATTTTTTGTTTGTTTGTTTTTTGAGGCAGGATCTCACTACGTAGTTGAGACTGACCTGGAACTCACTATGTAGCCCAGGCTGGTAACAAACTCACAGCGATCCTCCTGCCTCAGCTTCCCGAGTGCTGGGATGACAGGCGTGCGCCACCACACCTGGCCTCATTTGCTAAATTTAAAAACTATATATAGTGCATGTAATATATAACACTATATATACTTCTTATTTAATCCATATTGCCCCATGTGTGTAAATGAATTATGCATAAGCAGTGTTATATAATTATGTGTTATATAATTTGTGTACAAGTATTTAACTTTTAGGTAAAAAGTTATGAATCATATAGAAGCACACATACAAATGTGCAGGTTTTTAAATGGACAAATGTGAACATTTGTATTGATAGGGAAAAGAAAAATAATGGTTCCAAGGCATGAAAATAGCAGCTTATAACTTTTCCTATGGATGTTGTGAATTATTATGAATTATACTTTTCATTTGTTACATACGTAAAGCACTCACAGTGTACAAGGTAAATTCTAGAGTCTCTTTATACTAAATCTAGTCAATTGAACAATTGTACGTTAGTGCAGACAAATTCTAAGCTGCAAAATGTATTTAAGAAGTGAATGTTGTGGTACAAAACGAATGTAATGCAAATATCAGGTTATTTCTATAAAAATGTAGCACCTGCAAAACCACAGTCTAAGTTTGAACAACAACACTGTTGAAAAAGAAAAGTGAAAATGTGTCCAAGTATCACAACTAAACCTTTTTGTGCCAACATTTAGTCCATCATCTCTTGCGCTCAGCCCACATGACTATAACATGAAGACTTCTATCCTCCAATGTTTTAAGGCAGCTGCGAACTTCAGACTTTTTGTGATAACAGGGAGTGGAGGTACTCAGAGTATAATACACTTAGCTTGTCTTCTTTACTTCTCCTAGTACCAGTTAACATATGGAACATGTTTAAACTCAGTATATGGGAGGAAATTTGCCCTTGGCACAAGTGCCAGAGGTTGATTTGTCTATATTTTGTGCCATCATAACATAACATTAGCATGCGTCCCAAGTCATTATATTAGTTCTTCTCTTTTCTTTCCATCAATCAGCTCCTAGTTTAAATAGCTTATCATTTGTAAATTGTCATCCAATGCTACCATGAATTAATATTTTCCTTCTCTGTATTTATAACAACTATGCCAGTATACATGGTTACTATATATTATATCACAGTTGTGTTTCTGTGTGTTTCACCTGAGTAGACTAAGTCTTAGTTTTTTTTTAAATACCACTTTGTCTTAAAACAAGCATACTCTGATCCCACCCTTCATTAGCTTTCTATCTCAAAATAGCTCCCTTTTCTTGATGATACTAGGAAAATGCTATGATCATGACTCAGCCTAATTTCCACCTGCTCTGTGAACACTGCCTCTACCGACTAAGCC